AATCAAAGCAAACTTCCGGAACCTTTAGTTGGATTTAATCCCATAATTCCGAACTCTGTTCTCCTTCTGAGCATTTAATCTGTAATCCCAGCAGTTTGACTGTAGAACTGGGTCTGCTGCTGGTTCCGGTCCAAAATGACTGATGCAGATTTACAGAACCAGGACACGTGACCCTCTATGATTTAAAACTATAGATCTTATTAGACAGAAAACCAGATCAAAGATAGAACCTTATGGAACAGATGTGGTTCCTTCAGAAGGAGACTTCTAGTATAGAAAAGGAGGGAAACGATAAACAGATCTGGAAAGAGAAATCTAGTTTGTGTTTATCTATGTTTCCTGTTCAGGATGCATGTGTGGATCCAGCTAGTTGCGTATCTGTTTGATTTATCTCTCCTCCCTGTAGAAATAATCTGATGAATCAGTTTGTTTTCTTCTGGAAACTTCAAGTCCAGAAGAAAACCTTCCAGATCTAATCCAACCTGGAGGAGATTAGAGGCAGTTTTCCCTGGAATAATCTGAACAAACCTGAACACCAGGATGACCTGCTGCTGCCACCATCATGGCCGCCTGCTGTAGATCTACTAAAACCAGAGTAGATGATCATCTATGCATCAAACATGTGATTTCTGTTTATGGGAATGAAAGGGTTAACCAAACTAACTTCATTCAGCAGATTGTGTCTCATTATTTCCAGGAATTATTTTACGAACGTGAAAAATGTAAAAGTCAAAGTAAAGATGTAGTATTATTAATATAAGTAGTGATAATAGTGAGACAGTTGTGGTGACCAATGGGGGAAAGTCCCCACATGGATAGGGTGACCAGTGTGAGTGTTGGTGTGATAGGAACCATTTCAGCGTCACAATGAGGAGCGGCGCTTTAAATTGAGGTCATGTCGTTTCAGGGCTATGATGTCACTGGGCTGAGGTTTGCACTGTCAGGGCATAGAAAGGGTTAAAATGAAAGCATGGTCCTCATACATATAGCAGAAGCAGCAGGTGTGTGTCTGTGGTCCCATAAGCAGCTTAGCTCTGCGGCCTCAGAGGTTCTGCTGCAGCAGGAAGTAAAGCGGCCTGAGGGTCGGAGCGCCTCCTACCCACAGAAAGGAGACTTTATTCAAATATGGCCGATTTATCAGCCATCTTTATTTATTTTACAGTCCGTCATAAATATGCAGGAAAACAGCAGAACCACAGCTGGGTCAGTCAGAACCTGGAACCAGCCGGTCAGGTGTGGTTCTGATCCGAACACCAACAGATTGGGATGTTCCACCTGATTTGGTTCTGAAATGGTCCATAAAGTCGGACCGGATGGTTTCATTTATTCACCTTCTGCTCCCAGATCGGGTGGGAACAAACCCAGTCTTTCAGAACCCGTTGACCCGGTTTGCAGCAGCTGATCCGGCTCAGCAGGTCTGAGTCCAGAGGTTCTGGAAGCAGCGGAAGGTAAAGCTGGGGATAAAAGACCACACCCCTCCTGTTAGCCCCGCCCTTAGAGCAGAGGGGCGGGGCTAACCGTTAGTAAAGTCACTTTATAAACAGAACCGGCTTCCAGAACTTTCTGCTGATCCAGTCTGACCTTTTCTCTCCAACAGCTGACCGTTCTCCTCCCTGGAAGGGGGAGCAGAGGAGGAGCTTTGGTCAGGGAGGAGTTACCCACCCGCCCATCTGATTAAAAACGTTTCTCTGTAGATAAAAGCATTGATTGGTCAGACCGCACGCTGAACACAGCTAGCATTAGCTGAGCTAGCCTTAGCTTAGCGGAGGCGCTTCACGGCGCGTAGAAATGCGGCGGTGAAGGACAGTGTTCTGGTGTCACTGAGCCGATGTTCTGCTTCCTGCAGGCTCCCAGCAGACGGAGGGGCTCTCCTCGTACCAGCTGACTGTTCCTCGGCCAATAGGAGGCCGGCTGAAGAGGGACGCTGATGGAAGCCCGCCCAGTCAGGTACCACCTTTAACACGCCCACATTCCTGTTTCCATGGAAACCTGCCAGCCTGGCTAACCGCCACTGATGTGGTACTCAGCAGCGATGTCCTGCTGAGTCCCGACCCGACCCCTCCCCCATCAGCAGGTTCTGGTCTTTACGGCTGATGGAGGAAGAACGTGGTTCTGATTTCTCCGCTTTGTTGGATCAGAACCTTCCAGTGAGTCCAGCAGAACTTTAGATGTAGTTCTGGGTTCTTTTTGGACCTCCTGGGTTCAGAACTGGGTCGGTTCTTTGGACCAGACCAGAACATGTGAAGAGGATCGGTTCTGTTTTTATTTTCCTCGTTTCAACATAAACCAGCAGAATAAATTCTGTTGAGACAGAAAACCAGAACCAGAACAGTTCTGGTCCAAAGGCTCAGAAAGTTTCTACTCAGAAGACAAGGCGGGCTGCCAGAACCAGAAACACAGAGACAAACGGACCTTTGAGCCCGCTGGGTTAGAGGACAGATGACGATGATGATGATGGAGGCCATGCTGAGCTCTTCCTCTCCTCCAGCAGCAGCAGAGCTGAACCTGTTCCAGTGACTCAGCGGTTCGGGTCACCTTGTCCTTCATCCAGCAGCTGCTGCTTCAGAACCGTTGGTTCCGGTCCAGATTCCATCAGAGGACGGCGAGTCAGGCCACCGAGCTCTATTTATTTTATTTTATTATTCTAATTTTTTTTTTTTTGAGTTTTTACGGCGCTAGTGACTCGTTTTTTAACAGTAGGCTGAGAGGAAGGGGGGGGGAGACATGCGGGAAAGGACCACAGGTTGGATTCAAACCCGGGTCGCCCGTGTCGGGGACTAAGGCCTCCATATTGGGTTGTGCTCTCTAACCACTGCGTCGCCTGCACGCCCCTTGTAGTATGAAACTCTGCCAGGATGGGGATGAGTCGGCAGTAAAGGTGACACACACACAAACACTGTTTCTGCTAGAGTCAAATGTGTCGTTTTATTCCGCCACAGAAAACAGCAAAGCAACCAAAGCACGGTGCTGAATGCAAATTATATTGTCCTCCTACCGTGACACAAGGATCGCAGAGCCAGACGACCCCGGCAGGGCAGCAACCCGCGCAGCTAGGCGTCCGAACGCAACCCTAGCAGACCCCCCCAGTGCCAACCGCCATCCGTCATTTATGCCGAACTGCAAAGGAAAATCTTTCACCCAATCAGGTAAAGCGATCGCTCCCTCTCACGCCTGGAGCGCATGATTACAGAAACCAAAATATAGAACGTCCCCCCCCGAACCCACCCAGGGCTGGTGGACAGCTGAAACCAAAAACATTACATCATGGCACGGAGAGCTCGTGAGAACAAAAACAAATGATATCGTGCTCTCAAGGAAACAGAAACTTAGATAGTAACAGAGCTTCATTTGAGATACAGAACTGGTATGATTGTCAAAGAACATCAAATATAAAACATGTATATATCGCCCCTGATCTCTATATATTCACTGGATTGCTGAAAAAAGTGAAGCCACCCTCCGCCATCTTGGTACTCCCCACTCCCACGGGGACCTCCCTGTTTAGCATTTAGCTGCTAAAACCAGGAAGACGTTCCACAGGTAATTTCCCAGTCAGTGGATGAACTAAGCAATAAATCCATCTATAGCCGATGGATCCTGTAGTTTAGTCTGCAGACTAACATTAGTCTGGCTCTCTCAGACTGACTGGAAGACATTGACTGAGTTAGACGCTGACATTGGGTCTAATGTTAGAAAATAGAAAGTAGAGGAAATAGAAAGTCATTCACTGTAAAATGTTAATGTAGGAATTCTTTATTAAGTGGATGATGATGTCCTTCCTGTAGAGTTTGGTTTATTTCTCATTTGGAAAAGTCATGAGCTGAGATATATTGCAGGTTATATTGATGGAAAAGAACTCAATCATTTGACCTCTAAATATATATACTGCATGCATTAACATGTAAGATGTAATTACTGTAACTATGTCATAAATTAATGTCTATCACATGTTCATCATCAATTTAGCACTTTCGGCTCCTCTGTATTATTCTGCTCCTTTAACACATTAATTAGTGTGATGAATTGTATAATATGTTAGATTACATGATTTATAGACTTCTTTGACGTCATAATGACTGTGCAATGTGACGGGCCGATTTATTTATTCTAAGTTAAAGTTAATCTGCTGATTCTATGAAACATTGTGACCGGTCTAACTAGGGAGTACCAATATGGCGGTCAGTGGCTTCAGTTCAACCCTCAGGGAATAAATAGATCAGTGAGTCAGACGTTCAGCTGCAGCTCCTCCTTTAAGCCTCATAGGAACCTGCTGACAGCAGGAAGTAGGACATTTAGATCCAAACCCTGATTCCAGGTTTCTACGTTCCATGTAATAATCATCCTGCTTCCCAATGAATCAGATGATCAACTTAATCTGATGGATTAACGGATCTCTAGATTAACTCCTGCAGCTGAGGATGAATGGGATCAGATGATCTGCTGGAGGTCAGCAGCCGTCCTCCTGCTGCTGGACGCTTGGACCCGGGTTGACCCGGCCCGGTTGGATCCGGCCCGGTTGGACACGGGTGGATCCGGCCCGGTTGGACCCGGTTTGATCCGGCCCGGTTGGACCCGGGTTGCTGGCCAGTGAAGGAGACCCTGCAGAGCTACAGCGGATCCTCCAACCAATCAGATCCTCCCCTGGTTCTGCTCCTCTGACCCGACCCGTTCTGCTTGTCTACTGGATTGGTTTTGGGTTCTTTGGTTCTGGCTCGGTTTTGTCCCAGTCCTCCCAGTGAAACCAGTTCTCTGTGTCTGCAGGTGTCCTTCATCATTCCCATGGACGGACAGCAGCTGCTCGTCCATCTGGACCGGAACCAGTAAGTTTGGATCCAGGTTCTAACTCTTCTTCTCCTCCAACGAGCCTCTCTGGTACCGGTACCATCCCCGCTGACCTCATCCTAACCCAGTTCTGATGGGTTCTGCTGCAAAGTCCCAGGTTCTGGTTCTGGGTTCTGTTCTTCATCCTGAGGAACCATTGGGTCCAGCTGGATCAGAACCTTTCCCTGAAGATGGACCTGAGAACAGAACCAAAAAGAACTCAGAGGTTCTGCAGCAGAAGCATCAGAACCGGCCGCTCCAGTAAACCTTGGTTCTGGATCCTTCAGGGCGTCCTCCTCTGACCCAAAGCGGTTCTGTTGGGTCGGAGGAGGATCCAGTCCAGCTGGGTTCTACTGAAGCACCAAGGATCCTGAATGGGTCGGAACCAGAATCCAGCATCTTCAGCTGGAACCCCATGGTTCTGTAGAACCCTCTCATCTCCAAGCGGATCCAGAACGGATCTGATGTTCTGGTTCTGACCCGTCTAACCAGCTGCTGTTGCCTCCAGGATCCTGCTGCCGCCGGATTTCACGGTCTTCACCTACGGCCCAAACGGATCCCTGATCACGTCCAGACCTGCCGTCCAGGTGAGCCGCTCTGCGCCGCCGGACCTGTGGGGGGGGGGTTCTGTTGGGCCCGGTTCTGTTGGGCCCGGTTCTGTGGGGCCCGGTTCTGTTGGGGCCCGGTTCTGTTGCCATCAGAGAACACAGAAGTCCTGATTTCCTGGATTCTCCATGTTTTCATAGCGAGTTCATGGCGGATCTAGTCTGTTAATTTCTAGACTGAGAATCCACCTGATGGCGGCGGCGCCTTTCATATCTGATCTATTAGAGCGTCTGACCACCATGTTGGTTTGAAGCTTTTCAGCATCAGCAGGAAATGAAGGAACGGAGAATAATAAAATTATTATCATGTAGAAAACATTAAATGAATTATTTCTATTATCTCTATTCCATCAAACTGAATCTGATTAACAATAAAACTGATGAAAGAATGAATTAATGATTTTAAACCAAAATACTAAATTGATTCATTAAATATACGTATAACATCAAAGCTTCAAAGACCTTTGATGTTATAAGATGGATTTGAAACAAAAATAAATGTTAAGATTATATTTCTACATCACTTCCTGTCTCTCTGTGGTTCTCCAGAGAGCATCAGCAGATGACCCATCAGTTTACAGGAAGTGACACGTGGATGATCCGCTCTTACTTCCTGTCATCAGGGATAAACTGCAGGATTCACTTTAAAAGTTTATTTAATTATCAGAATTCTATCAAAGTAGAAAAATCTAAATATTTCACTAATCTTGTAGCTTCTAATAATCATAGGTCTTTTTAGTTTCCTGGATTGGATTGTTAATCCCTGGGTTACATCTGGCCCTTTGGCCTCTGCTGAACTTTGAGGCTTTCTCTGAGTTTTCCACAGAACAGATTTTAGCTCCTAGAAGCTGGAATCTCCTGTTAGATTTAGACTCGGAGGAAAAGCCGCCATGCGCAGCTGTTCTGGATCATTTTCAGACTGTTTCTTTAGATGAACTGACTCCAGTTATTCAGCGTCGGCGGCCATCAAATTATTCTTTGGATTGTCTTCCTGCTCGTCTGATAAAGGACATTTTTCTCACTTCCAGCCATTTTATTCTGTGAAGGACCGAGCCAAAAAAAGTCAGAGATGCACAGGGAAGTCTTGATGAAAAAATGGTAACAAATTTATTTTGCAAAAATAAAGTTGAAAAGTTCAAACAAGACGGGGCCCATCAAGGAAAACAAATGACAAAAATCAGCTAAATCCAAACCTGACACAGGAAAAGGCTCCCTAACTGACACACAAGGGAAACATATATATACACTGGTTGATCAGACCATTTTGAAACAAGAGGGAAACATAAAATATATTTTCCTAAAGAAAACTACAACAAAAGACCAAACTAATCAGCATCATACTCAATCAGCAACCTATGATCAAGAGGACTTAAATATTTAACTTTCCAAATGTTATTATAGAGAACAAAACCAAATACAGAAACCTAAACCCTTCCTACACCCCTTCTAAATGTAAGTGGAAGAGTCCAACTGGGCCTCCATGTCAATGAGGAGATCCTCTGCAGATGGAGCCTCCTTTCCTTTCCTGGCTTCATTCATGACCGCCTCCCAGGAACTGGCAACTCAAATGAAAAATATATGAATGTACAGAAAACCAAACGGCAAGAAACGACAAAATGAGCCCACTGAATGTGTGCACCCAAATAGTTAACCAATGTAGAAAAATACAAAATACAGGACAATAAAATAGAAGATTTAATGAAAGAATTAGCAGACCAGTTGTGTGGTTGTACATGCAGCCATCACACATTCTAATGGTGATAAACGCCTCATTGCAGTCAGGTTTAGTCCCAACATGCTGTAGTTAAACCCCTTCTTAAAAAAAACTAATCTAGACTCAAGCCTACTAGCAAATTTTAGGCCAATTTCCAAACTCCCTTTTTAACCAAGATTCAGGAAAAATGAGTTCTTAATCGGTTTGAGGTGTTTTTAAAAGACAACTGAGAGGTTCCAGTCTGGGTTTAAAGCTGAACGTAGCACTGAAACAGCTTTGCTTCCGTCTACAATGATCTTCTCCTAACAGTTGATTCAGGAAATGTTGCAGTTTTATTACTGTTAGACCTGATGCTGAAGATCATCAGATTCTTCTACACAGATTAAAACATGATGGTGGCCTGAGAGGCCCAGAATGCTTTCAATCGTATTTAGAAAAGAGAACTTTTTCAGTTCATCTTGACCGATGCTGTTCTGAGGCCAAACCTTTAAAGTATGGCGTCCCCCAAGGCTCAATTCTAGGTCCTATTTTGTTTATGTTGTATTTTCTGCCTCTCGGTCAGATTTTTCAGAAGTTTGGTGTTTCTTTTCATTTCTTTGCAGATGATGTTCAGATTTATTTGCCCCTTAAACTACAAAATGTGAAAAATGAATCTCTTCAGCTATTGATAGATTGTTTAGCTGAAGTCAAATCTTGGATGGAACAGAACTTTCTTCACCTTAATCAAAGTAAAACTCAAGTTATGCTGCTAGGAATCTTGGTTTTACTTTTGAAAGCTGTTTAAAGCTAGATAAACAAGTTAGATCTGTTGTTAGATCAAGTTTTTATCACCTGCGGATTTTAGTAAAAATTAAATCCTATTTTTGTTTTAAGGACTTTGAAGGACTTATCTATGCTTTCATTACATGCCGGTTGGATTATTGCAAATGATTATATAGAGGCATGGATAAACCACCAGGAAGCGTGACCATATAAGGCATATAATGGCTTCTTTACATTGGCTGCCTGTTTTTTACCAAATAGATTTTAAGATTCTTTTATTAACTTATAAAGTCTTAAATGGATTAGCTCCTCCTTGTCTTAGAGACCTTTTAAAATTCCAGTCTGTGTGGAGAAGTCTACGCTCTAATAATCAACTGTTACTGACAGTTCTTTGGACTCGACTTAAGAGGAAAGGAGATTCTCTGTTCTTGCTCCAATTCTGTGGAACCATTTTTCTCTTCAAATTAAATCCGCCCACAGCCTGGATCATTTTAAATCGCTTCTTAAAACTTATTTTTATTCTTCGGCTTTTAATTGAAGCCGTTTTTCACATTCTGTTTTGTTAATTGGTGTTGTCTTTCCTGTAAAGCACTTTGGTGCAGTTTTATACCTCTTTTTAAAGAGCTATATAAATAAATTGGACATTTGACCAGGCGACCAGAATCAGCAACAGATCCTCCCTCAGCTTCTGAGCGGTGAAACGTTCACAGGAAAGAACTGAGATTATTAGACTGGAGGCTCTGATCCCAAACCACTGACTGACCATGGACTTGAACTCAGAAGCTCTGGATACATAGCTCTATGCTCTAACCACTAGGCCTCTTAAATAAATCATCTGATTAAAAAATCAGCTTTAATGAGCTAGTCGACCTACTCAGATTAATGTTGTTATTCCTTTGATGCCTGGTGTCAATAATTAGCCTCATTTCTACATTTCATCTCGTGTAGCTTCTATGTTAAACTCTTCAATAACCTCTTTAATTTGACATCTGATTGATAAAATATTTTTTTTTAGTACATCTGGTTTAATTTCAGGCATTAAGGGTTTAAACCCGACCCCCCTCCCCCCGGGTAGCTTTCTACCTGCTTTGAATATTAGTTCCACGTGGATCAGAACCGGTTCCAGTTAGAATCATGTCTTGATCCTTTATTAAATCGTACTACAGCCTGCCGTACATCAGGTCGGTTTCATCTGATGGAAAAATAAACGGGTTCTGCTGAGCAGAACCGCCCAGATCCAGAACCCAATCAGGGAAGACCTGAAGTTCTACGGAACTGGCTGAAGGTGTTTGCTTTACTGGACCCAGGTGCATTCTGGGAGTTCCTACAGTGTTTTGTCAGAACCATCCAGACCAGTTAGAATCTGGTCCAGAACCACGGTCAGGATCCTTCTGGATCAGGTTCTGATTTCATGTGAAGGTTTCACTGCTGAGAAGCTGAGGGAGGATTTGTTGCTGTGAACCGGATTCTGTGACAGGAAGTTAGAGCGGATCATCCATGTGTCACTTCCTGTAAACTGATGGGTCATCTGCTGACTCAGATGCTCTCTGGAGAACCACAGAGAGACAGGAAGTGATGTAGGAGCAGCTCCTGGGCTCCCCCTGCTGGACTCACCTGGTACCCCCGCTCTGTGTTTCAGGACCACTGTCACTATCGGGGCTCCGTTCAGGACATGGACGGTTCCGCCGCGGCTATGAGCATCTGCAACGGCCTCAGGTAACGCCCACCCGTCCCGGGCTACCGGAGCCAACATGGACGGCTCTAACAGTAAAACCCAAAGCTGAATCTGGGTCAGAACAGAACCTGTTACCATGTTTCAGTCAGTAGGTTGGGCTAAGTAGTCCCTCAGCTTTGTCTGCTAGGAGCTTTTTTACTCGTCTCTTGCTTTTTTTCTCAGAGGAGTTTTACATCTGAGTCATGGCAGCTATGGGATCGAGCCGCTAGACTCCGACCCCGAGCAGCATTTGCTGTACCGCCTACAGGATGTGACATCACAGCCCAGAGGATGTGGAACGCCTCACGTTGAGCACGGCACGGAGCACGCTCAGTACGGACCGCAGGAGATCCAGCACCAACAGCACAGCAGGGTGGGTTCAGCCGCAGGAGGAACGCTGAGGGTCTGATCCCAGGCTGGGAGCAGCGGGGAGGCGTCTCTCCTCAGGCCAAGCCTGGATTCAGCCGCCTGAACTCGGACTCACTTCCTGCTTTAAAATATTCCTTAACAAACAAACCAGGTTACCATGGTTACCCTCATCCAGAGCCGTTTGTCTTCCAGGTAAAGAGAGCCGTTCTCCATAAGACCCACTATGTGGAGCTGCTGCTGGTGGTGGACAACGACAGGGTGAGACACACACCTGTACTAACCCCCCCACCCCAGCCCCCACCGTGCTGATGCAGCATTCCTGCTTCTTCTTCTTCTGCAGTTTAATCACATGAACCGAAACGAGACGGCGGTCAGAGAGCAGATGGTTCAGCTGGCCAACCTGGTAGACAGTGTACGTACCCCCCCCACCCTCTCTAGGTGATCTAGATCTGAGATGTTGTCTCTAAGGTCCTGCCTTTGTCTCTGTGAGCAGATCTACATGCAGCTGAAGGTCAGGGTGGTCCTGGTGGGCCTGGAGATCTGGACCAACCAGAACCCGTTCAGCACAGACGGATCAGCTGGAGAGGTTCTGGGCCGCTTCACTCAGTGGAGGGAGAAGGAGCTGGTTCCTCGGCGCCGACACGACTCCGCCCAGCTCATCCTGTGAGTCCGCACCAGGAAGACGGTGATGGTGATGATGATGATGGTGATGATGACGGTGGTCTTGCTGATGTTCCAGGATGAAGAGCTTCGGAGCGACAGCAGGAATGGCCTTCGTCTCCACGGTGTGCTCCAGAAGCCATGGAGGAGGCATCAATGCGGTAACTCCTCCCACACGGACGGACCCACCTGGTTCTGATGTCACTCCTGGGTCCATCCTGAGGTTCTGTCTCTGTTCTTCTCTCAGTTCCTCAACAACAACGTTCCGTCCTTCGCCTCCATCGTGGCTCATGAACTCGGACACAACCTGGGGATGAACCACGACGACGGACGCTCCTGCTCCTGTTCCGCCTCCACCTGCATCATGCACTCCGGAGCTACGTAGGAAAACTCCCATTCCGGACCTCCCCCCCCCAGCCAGAACGTTCCTGTTCTTTACTCCTCTTTGTTTCTGCAGTGGATCCAAAACCTTCAGCAGCTGCAGCGCCGACGACTTTGAGAAGATGATCCTGTCCACAGGAGGGACGTGTCTCCTGAACATCCCTCGACCCGACGAGGCCTACAGCGCCCCCTACTGTGGAAACCAGCTGGTGGACGTCGGAGAGGAGTGCGACTGTGGATCAGAGAAGGTTTGAGGCTGTGCTCCTATTGGCCGAGCTGGTATCTGGACTCCCAGAACTAGAGTCCGGTTCGGTCCGGAAACGCTGACCCCTGGTGTTTGTATCCAGGAGTGTGAGGACGACCCCTGCTGTGAATACAAGACGTGCAAACTAAAGCCTGGAGCTCAGTGTGCGCACGGAGAGTGCTGTTCCAAATGTCAGGTAAGCCCAGGCCTCCAGCCAAAGCTAGCGCTGGTTTCTGGATCAACCCGTAGAACCAGAACATGTTCTGGTGTCTGTGTGTCCAGTTCCTGCCGGGTGGAACCGTCTGTCGCTCCAAGAAAGACGCCGAGTGTGACCTCCCAGAGTACTGCAACGGCTCCACCCTCTTCTGTCAGAGCGACGTCTTCGTCCAGGTGAGACCCAGAGACCCGTCCGTCTCCACGCAGCTGGTCTCTGCTTCCCCTGGGAGGCGCTAACCGACTCGGTTTGTGTTTGGTCCAGAACGGGCATCCCTGCAGGAACCAGGAGGCCTACTGTTTCAACGGAAGGTGTCAACACTACGACGGACAGTGCAAAGCCCTGTTTGGATCCAGTAGGTCCCGCCCCCCCTGTGCCTTAATGCTCCCTGCCTGATCGGTTCAGGAGGTTTTGAATTCGCCTGATTGTTCCTCCCCTGCAGAGTCCAAGGCTGCTCCAGACCTCTGCTTCAAGGACGTCAACAGCAAAGGAGACCGCTTCGGCAACTGCGGATACCAACACTATGGCTACAAGAAGTGTGAGAGCAGGTACCTGGTCTGACCCGGCAACTGAAGGTCTGTCCCAGCCGGCCCTCTGGTCACGTGACTCTGTCTCCATAGAAACGCTAAGTGTGGAAAACTGCAGTGCCTGAACTTGGGGTCGGAAACGGTTTTCGGCATCCAGCCGGCGATCATCACCACTCCTACAGAGGGAGGAGCCAAGTGCTTTGGAGTGGACTTCATGCTGGGCTCGGACGTTCCCGACCCGGGCATGGTCAACGAAGGAACCAAGTGTGGCGACAACAAGGTGAGGGGGGAGGGGGGGGGATGGCGGCGACGGTTACTCGGAGAAGCTGATTAATCTTCTTCTTCTATGGTCTGCAGGTGTGTTTGAACTACGAGTGTCGTAACGCGGATGTCCTGAACTACGACTGTGACATGGAGAACAAGTGCCACGGTCACGGGGTAAGTTGGTTCTGGTCTGTCCGACGACCTGAGTCATGTGACCACAGTCTGATCCGACTGTTTCCGCGCTCCTCTCAGGTGTGTAACATTAACAAGAACTGTCACTGCGATTACGGCTGGGCTCCGCCTTTCTGTGAGCACCCGGGGTACGGCGGCAGCGTGGACAGCGGACCCGCCTGGAACGGTACTTTCCCTGCTGTGTTCTCAGCCGCCGTGTCCCCGCTCCTTAATGACTCCTTCTGTGGTCCACAGATAAGGACACGTCCGTCAGGGACGGCCTGCTGGTCTTCTTCTTCCTCGTTCTTCCTCTGATTGCTCTGGGAGCGTTTGTTTTCCTGCGCAGGAACGAGCTGCTGCGGCGCCTCGGACTGAGCGGCAGGAAGAGGTCACAGGGATACCAGTGAGTACCAACCGAGTCGGCGCACCGACCTCCTATTACCGTGTTAGAGGACTCTAGCTATTTATCAATTCACAAGAACACAAGTACAGACTCGTGTTTTCACCAAGTAGTTCTTGAGAAGAACCCAGGAAAGACTGTGGGAGAACGGGAGCACGCAGCATAGATCTGGGTCAATTAGAACAGCAGCGTACTGATGACATCACCACATTCACATTCACCTGGAGCTGCATTTCTCCTCCTGTTATTAGTAGTCTCTAAATAATAATAGATGATAATAAAAGAACTTGTGCTTGTTTTTTCATTTAGTGAGGGAATAATAATTAACACAGTCAGATAAACACAAAAATAAAATTCGCAGAATAAAACCAAAGAAACCGCCATCAGAGCGAGCGGTTCTTCACACACGGCTATGCAGAGAGAGGGCTGCGGCAGCTAATGCTAACCGTTGCAGACGGGCTAACCGTTGCAGACGGGCTAACGTTAGCCCTGACCGTTGCAGACGGGCTAACGTTAGCCCTGGCTGCCGCAGACGGGCTAACGTTAGCTCTGGCTGTGGTTAGCCTTGGAGTTCACCTGGTTGCCGCGATCCTCTCAACATCAGAATTCTTTTTAAATAATGCACTAAATCAATAAATTTTCCATATAGTGAAGCTTAGTGAAGTAAAATATTCTCGCCTTAAATGATCGTAAAGTGTACTGTTATTGATAAACGGCAACAGAAAAGAGAACTTTTAACTTAATCCTCTGAGCTCTGTGAGCGCTAACCTGGAGGCTGCTGCTGCAGTGCATGCTGGGACAGCTGTCAGTCTGGAGAACGGACAGGTCTGCTCTGATGCATTCTGGGTAAAGAGGGAGGGGCCAGAACAACATCCGGGGACTTTGTCCGTTCTCGGTTTTGTGTTCTTGTGAATTGGAGCAGCACTAGGGCTGAGGCTGATGACTTTTCACGAGGACACGAGGACGCACACGTACACAGATTGAGAAACGGCCTCTTAGACAGAAATCAACCATGGCAACTAGGAACTGGGTTTTCAAACACCAATCATCCTAGCAACCAGTGACTCACCACTTTCTGAGACAGGAGAAACCATGGCAACCAGTTATTTGGCTTGGTATTGTGAAATCACCATGGTAACCAGTAAGTGAGCATTTTCTAAGACAGAAATCACCATAGCACCATGGAAACAAAGTCACAAATAGCGGTAGCAAGCAGTGACTCGCTTTTACTAAGAAACTAATCACCATGGTAACCAGCAACTCAGCATTTTCTAAAATGCTAATCGCCATGGTGACCAGTGAATCAGCAGTTTCTAAGACGCTAATCGTCATGGTAACCAGCGACGCAGCATTTTCTAAGACGCTAATCGCCATGGTAACCAGTGACTCAGCATTTATTGCACTTGAAGCAGTCGATAGTGTCTCTAACTGCAGTTTCCTCAGAGTTCTTGTAGACGTTGTGGGCAGGTAGGGTCTCCTGTAGTGGTCTGTGTTGAAGCAGGTAGTCAGACCCTCTGACTGAAGACCCTCCATTGCTGTACGACTGTCTGATGAAGTGGATGCTCAGGCTCGTTAGCACCGGTGTTTTGGTTCTGGTTCTTCTGTTCACTGAACTTTTCCTCTAAATGTATTTTTAGGGCTGACGGAGCGGCCTCCACCAATCCCAGCAGAGCTCCGCCCCCCAGGGCGCAGCCACCACCTGTTGGTCGCAGCAACGCAAACGGCACGGTCAGAGACGGGGTATGTTTGCTGTGTCTCTCATTCAGGGTAAAACCAACGATTAATGTGCTGCTGATGATGATGAGGATGATGGTGGGAAGCTGAAGGGTCTGCTAGCTTAGCTGCTAGCTTAGCTGCTAGCTTAGCTGCTCTAAAGACACCTTTTTAACTTTTTAATGAATCTCTTCCTCAGATCCTTCCAGTCGTTTATTGATCAGTAAATAATCAGCTGATCAATAAAACTACACAGAATAAATTCATCTATTAACTCATCTATTGCTGTTTGACTCGTCTCTAAACCACCTGATTGATTGGCTGATGAAGCTTGTAGATGTCAGTCTGTTCTATTCTATTCTACTCTACTCTATTCTGTTCTATTGTAGTAAATAAAGTTAATTTCAATGAACTAACATCCATTATTTTCTCCACATGTGAAGCAAAACAGTCAGCTGCTGCCACCTCAGAAGGTAAATACCCTGACCTCTCTACCACAGTACCACTACTACACTAATACTACAGTATTACTACTACTACAGTACCACTACTACACTAATACTACAGTATTACTACTACTACAGTACCACTACTACACTAATACTACTGTAATACTACAACCACAGTAATACTACTACTGCTACTACAGTAATACTACTACTGCTACTACAGTAATATTGCTACTACTACAGTAATACTACTACTGCTACTACAGTAATATTGCTACTACTACAGTAATACTACATCACTGTAATACTACTTCTCCAGTCCAGCTGGTCTCAGACTCTGTCAGAACTGATAAATCTCTTCTTGTGGTAAAAAACAAAGAATCTGTTTGTTTTGCCTGAAATATGGATCAGAAGCTCAGCAGCTGAATCGATAGGAAGTCTCCTCATCCTCTATGGAGGGACTGATGGATGGAAGGGGAGGAGCTTAAACGTCTTCATTCCTCTCCATCGTGTAACAGCTTCAGTCCGGTCAGGCAGCCGTTCAGCTGTGCGTCTCATGGAGAACGCAGTGACCTTAAAACCCACAGCAGAAAAACTGTCATGGCTGTTTGGTCTTTTTTCACCTTCATCTTCTGCCATCCTGAACATGATGGAGCTGCATGAAGGACCATCGTAGATGAAACATTTCCTCATGCTTCATGTTTTTATTTGTTCTCTAATTTATCCTTCAGTTTATTTCCATCTTCTCCTCTGGTCTCTGTAGCTGTGGGATCAGATTGATGCAGATCATGTTTATTTTTCCTGTTTGTCGTCTCAGATGGTTCAGACCAGCACCACGGCTCCGCCCTTCGCTGCGAGGCCGCCTCCCCCTCCTCTGTAAGAACGTCTGCAGGAGAATCGTGAGGATCTGCTTCCAGGGAGAACAAGCTGACATCTCTCTGTTTTTATCTCCTCCAGAAAACCCAAACCTTCTGCTGCATCTCAACCTTTGGTGCCTCAAAGACCCGCCCCCGCTCCACCTGTTTAACCAATCAGGGGGCTTCCTCTCTTGCCCACCCTCTTCCTCCTGAATTTCAGCCCGCTCCATGCAGAGCTGGTTGCCTAGCAACATCCAGGAGCCTCGCCGGAGGCGCGTGGGTCAGAGAGCGAACCGGACTCAGACGGGAGCGAACCCCAGAAGCTGAAACCTAACCAGCCAATCAGATTGTAGAGATTCCAAAATAGATCCTCCTCCTTGAGTAAACAGATAATATAGCCTTCCACTGGGCCTTTACCAGTTCTCCCAGTAACATGCAGGACTGCAGACTGCAGTTCTGGTCCAATGAAAGCAATAAAATGACATCATATCCTTCATAAGATTTGATTTTAAAACGCATCTGATAGTTCTGGATCTACCATGAAAACGAAGCATAACTTCAGTGTTAGCGTCGATGCTAATCAGTGCGTCACACCCTGGAGGTGATGATGACTTTCTTACGGTTTGGAGCATTTCTAACATTAATTTAAATCACCTGCAGGGCGTTTCCCTCCATTATATCGTTAGCTGTGCCACAGCGTCCGACAAACTGCTAACTGAGTGAAGGATCCGCGTACCGCTGCTTCCTGGATGTCCTGGACGTGGAATCAGCAGTTAGCGTTAGCATCATGAGCCGATGCTACAAACACTTATCAGTCGATCCAATCAGCGATCGTCTACTGACGTCTGTTTTGGACAATCATCAGCTGTCAGTGTTAGCATCAACAGTCAGACGTTAGCGTTAGCGAGCTCCAGTCACATGGCAGTTATCGTGCTTGTTTTAAATCCTGGTGTATTAAAACTCACCAGTTAAACCAGTTAAACATCAAAGCCTTCTGGAAAAACAGATGTGGGAGATTTTTCATAAAGAGGAACGAGTTTTTAGGTTAGAAAGCTAACCTCACTCTGATTGGCTGGTTTGGACACAGGGGGCGGAGCCTGCTCTCTTTGATTTATTTTTTTTTTCCCTTTTTTTTCTGTGGTGTATAACTGCAGCTCTGCCCAGCGCTGTCATAGGAATGTAACGCACCCTCCAAGCCGCCGTGTGGAGGTGCGTTTAGTTTCCCCACCTGGCCCGGCCCGGATCGCTCAGTATTCCCCCAGTGCGGGGCCCCCTCTGTGCGCGGGGCCCCCTCTGTGCGCGGGGCCCCCTCTGTGCGCGGGGCCCCCTCTGTGCGCGGGGCCCCCTCTGTGCGCGGGGCTCCTGGGACATTTAGTCTGGTACAAGCGTCTCCACTGGGAGTCTGCGCACATTTTATACGGTTTAATTTCAAAGGAATCCTCTGGAACACTTCAGACCACTTGGATCGATGCACTCTAATCAAAGCAGGGATTTTTACTCCACCAGTAAACCAAACGCTCCTGCTGGTGAGCAGCACTGCAACGGCTCAACCTGGATCTGCACTGTCGGGAGGAGGACTTCCTGTTTCCCCTGCTTGTTTTGCACAGGACTCCACTGTTAGGGCTAACTTGGTGCCAATGACTGTCCAACACCCAATCAGGGCGTGAGACGAGTCGACGCCGCGGCTGGCGGCCGTCGCTTCACTTTTAAAGGACTTTTCTCCTGCTGAGGCTCAAACCAACTGCATGTCAGAACACGCTGCAGGGATCCAACCCTGAAAGCACATCAGTGACTCATCAGATGCTCACACTCCTTCCCTTCTGCACTAAATCCTCCATTCTTCCTCCACAAAAACAGATGGATTTACAGCAGGTTTCATCCTCTAAAGCTGAAAATGACTTTATTTTTAATTGCTGTTTCTCTGTCATCGGCTCACTACGGCAGCCAGGAGGAGACAAACCAACTGGGGTCCTTTAGCAGGCCAGATTACTTTAGCTTCTGTGGCTAGATCGAAATGCCAACAATGGAGTCTTCACTTTCCTGTAATGTTCATTTAATGCCACTAGAGGTCGCCACAATTCAGCCACCGGCCCTTTAATGCTCTGATCCAATAAAAGGTTCCTCTGTCAGTTTTAGAAAGCAGAGGAAAAATATTAAGATGTGTTCAAATTAAACCCCGGAAGAAAAATCTAAATCTAGTTTCTTTCACCTTATCCACGCCAGGGGGCGCTGCTGCTGAGGATCAGGAACACAGTGGTGCTTTGTCACTTTAATTTGGACAGAGGTCAAATGAGTTTAGTTTGAACTAGGAAAGACTGAACCAGCGATTGGATCAAAGTTTGTCGCGTATCTCAGGACATAAACTCCTGGTTCTGACTAAAAAAGGTTAATCTGTGGCAGAAACTGATGATGATCAGGTGACCTGGTTGGTTTGAGCCTAAACATGAGAGGAATTAGATGTTTCAACCTTCGGATCAGTCCGCTGATCATTAAATAGAGATGTTTTTGGGATGTGGGCGGAGCAACGGATCAGGCCATCTAATCCCTGAATTCAGTCTTTCAGGCTGAGATAATCAACAGAGTTGAGCTGCAACGGTCTGAAATTTAAAAATCAATAATATATAAATATATATAAATAAATATAATCACATTTTAAAATGTAAAGAGGAATTAAAGTAGTTATGTTGTGTGGGCCAATCACAGTGAGCTTTTCCTTCCTGCACCTCTGCTAACAGTTTGAGTTCAGCCTGCTTTTTGTAAAGGTGGACGGATTTCAGCAGCCTGAGACAAACTCAGGGTGATAAAGGTCTCTACTGGATGTTAGGCTCGGTTTAATCTGTGATGGATGGAGAGCCGGTTGGCTGCAGGGGACGGATGGACGTCTGTTACAAACACACTGATTTTATAGGAAGCTGTTTCTGCTCTGAGATGTGATTCTGTGTGTCCGTGCTCATCTGCATCATTTCAGATGTTTTATTTCCTTATTAAACTTCAACACTTTCTGCCAGACTAATGGTCATGATTTCACACACCAGACGCAGTCGCTTTTCCTCTTGGTTGGATTTTAATATGAGGAAGAACATGCGGAGATGCAGGTTGCTATAGCAACACTGATGTGTTTCTGATGAAGACAATAAGTGAGTCAGATCCAGGGGGCTGCGTTGGCGTCAGAGGATGTTGCTGCCGCCATCGGATCGGTTCTGATCCAGAACACCGACCTTCAATCGACCTCATGGTGGTTTAAGCTCGGGCTGCAACCAACCGTTAATTTGCTAATCTGTTGATTATCTTTACAATGCATAGATTAATAACTGGATAGCAAAAGGATCCTTAGAAAAACATTTTCAACCCTTTATAGGGCAAGTTAGCATTTCTGATCACTTGCATACCCCTTACAAATGGAGTCCCCCCGTCCCTCAGTGAAATCTAGAAGCACTAGATCTATATCCAGCCATTCAACAGAGATCCTGCTACATGGCTGCACATCTGATTTTAGCATTTGACCAATTAGATGAGCCCTTCAATGACATATTATAGACTGGAAATTAAGCTGAAAAAAGGTAAAAAGCTAATTAAAAAGTTAATAAGCCTAGTTAACAATTATATTTAGGTTTATAAACTAAAAAATGTCAGTGCCAGTATCAGCATTAATGCCTCTAAGGTTATGTAGGACCAAACTAAATTCTTCTAGAAGCACTTTTGTTATTTTTCTTAATATATTTGAGCAAGTTGGTGTTTCTTCTTATTACACTGACATCCATTTTTGCCATCAACATATCCATCTTTTTTCAATGTTCCAAAGGTAATACTGTCCTGATTCCAATAACACTATTGGCTGCAAATGTGGATTTTCAAAGTATTTCACTGAGCTCCCTATAAGGAGTTAAAGCATTAAACCAGGTCAAACTGAAACTTTTCCACTCGAGGATTCTGGGTAGAGCAGATCGACCGGCTAACGGTGCGGAACGAGAACCAGCCGACCCAGCTGGACCACTTTCTGGTCGGGAGGAGTTGGACTGCTTGGTTAGATGTCTGCTGGCCAGTTTCAGCTCATCCATGTTTCTCTGTCCATTTTAAAAGCGCAGAGGTTAAAGCTTTATATTATCTTTTAGTTTCTAGTTCCTATTTACGCCGATGCAACAGAGTGACATCAGAATGTTTTCAGTTTTCTTCTTCTTATCCAACTCATCTGGAGATAAGTGGATAAGGTTTGCAACTAGGAATTTTTGTTTCTCTATGCCTGTGGAGTTAATGATGCGCTCAGCGATGAGAATGTTTGAATCAATTTTCAGCTGCTGGCAGAAAAACAAGAAGTTTCAAAATAACAATCCAGTCATTATCCACTATATTTGTATATTTCCATGTACATATTGTAAGGACTTATTTTTAAGTGTGTAGAAACGGGTTGCAGGTTATCTTTAAACCTGTGATATCAATGAAACACTTTTCTTTCGCTGTTAAAGATGCCACTCTGTATTTTAGGCTTTATTAGCCATTTTAGCGCATGCTTTACCTGTCTGAGGATTTATTAGCAGTTTGGTGCAAAGCTTAACCTTTAAGGATTTACTAGCTATTTAGTTTATGCTTCACCTTTTCTTTAAGGATTTTAAGCAATTTAGATTGAATCAACCCCCTTCGGTTGGTTAGACCTCAGATTACATTAGATACAGCAAATAATCTTGTTCTACACAATATAAAATAAGTGTTTATGAGTCTTATCAGACTAATAGGCAAAGGGATTTAGGTTAAATTTCGAGGCATTTAAGCTATTTTGGACTGGAAGTGAATTTGAAATAGTATAACTTGGGAGTTTTAGTTTTTGGGATGTGGTTATAGCAACCATAAATAGCAATTTTGGTCAAACAATAAGATTAACTTGGAAGGAATATCTGTCAATTTATTTGGACCAAAGTAATCAGATTGCTTTGCAGTTATGTTTGTTATCACTAGCTGAGGAGACATATTAGAGATATTAGCTTTTGATACATTTCTATATTACTAAACTCCAGGAATGCCAAAGGTTATGTTTTCCTCTGACATTAATGCTTTCACACGGTTAATCAATAATGGCTCTAAGTTTTATACTCATATATGTGCAGAATGACTGTTATATTCAGTCCTCACCCAGGGACGCCATATTATGTTTGATACTTTAGTATATTTATTGCCCTCCCCGGTAGGGGGGGTAAATATCTTATTTGATCAGATATTATTCGGACTGTTTAGAACAACAAATGAAAGAGTGAATCGAGCTCAAATAATGGTTAAACAGATAATTCTGCACATTCATGAAATAAATTTAGCAAAAATTCCATTAAAATGTGGGATTAACATAAATCATTCAGCTCCAAGTCAAACATATTTCCCTTAAAAACTCTTGACTAAAACTAGAGAAACTAAAGCGGGGCGTACACTGTGCGATTTTTTTCAATCGTTGCACGCAGCTACTGCTCACACTGTTCACTGAGTTCACAGCTCAGGATATATGTGTGATATATACCTGCTCACTCTACATCTAAAAACCAGGTGGGACTCAGCTCCACAGTGAGATGGCGCTACTCGGACTCGTCTATCTGGAAGCTAAACCAGTAGAAGGTGGGTTCCTGGGGGCCCCATAAAACTCTGTTTCCATGTATGATTAATACAACTATTCCTTATTTCTACACATTAATGATGTTTTTGATAAAAATC